GTGGGGCCCCCCCCGCCATGCCTGGTGCCGGTCCCATACCTCCCCGTGGGGTGCGGAGGCTTCTCTGCACCTTCCCTAGCATCATCGGTTTGTCCTGGGAAGGGCCCCAAAAAGCACAGGGTGCCTCTGCCTGGTTGTCTGGTTCGAGCGCTCTCTGGCCTTACCAATCGGATACTTCCCAAAACAGCTCCTGACCTCACTCCTTGAGATTATTTCCCGCCACAAGGACATCTAAAGCTCAGGTTTGTCCTTCCCTCCTCGCACAGCCAATGAGGCTGTGGATCTTCCCTCTCACTGGGATTTGTGACCTTCCTGCAGATGCCCACCCATCTCTGACTCCAGGTGGGGGTGCTGGGCTTTCTCTTGGGCCTTTAGCCAATGCAGAAAATGGACAATTCCGGTTAGCGCCCATGTCCTGCTTCCCAGCACATCTCGGGCAGCTTTGGAGCCCAGGATCCAGCAACCCAAAGGTACAACCTTTGCTTGTTTAGATCCACTTATCCAGGTACAATTCTATCCCCACCATAATTTTTTATCACATCTTTTATCAAGACCTTATTGCGGCCTTTCTATATGTAAGGGGGGGGGCTTATAAGAAAGCCAGAGAAAGAGTTTTTACCAGGGCCTGTAGTGAGAGGACAAGAGGACATGATTCTAAAATGGAGGAGGAGCAGGTTTAGATTGGACATAAGGAAGAAATATTTTATGATGAGGGTGGTGAGGCACCAGCACGGGTTTCCCAGAGAAGTTGTGGGTGCTCCATCATTGGAAGTGTTCAAGGACAGGTTGGACAGGGCTCTGAGCAACCTGACCTGGTGGGAAATGTCCCTGCCCGTGGCAGGGGGGTTGGACTAGATGATCTTCAAAGATCTCTTCCAACCCAAACCATTCTGTGATACTATGGTTCCCCAGTAGAGCTATTTCTGGGAGCACCTCAGCTTTCTCATGCTATCTTCCACCAGTTTCTTAAAGCAGATTGTGTAGTTGCCGTCACCTAGATGAGCACCTGAACCTTCCTGCCACGTCTCCAGGTCGTGTCTCTCACGGCAACACTGGAGGTCCCTTGGTAGAACTAGAGATTTTTAAAAGCAAGCAACTCCTGTTTTGCTACGTAAAGAAATAAAATTTTGTCATTCTGAACCAGAAGGAAAATGCTTGGCTCTGGCTGGTGTTTTCGGAGGAAGAGGACATCAGCTCTGCATTGAGTGATCAACTGTTCATCCGAAGTCGCTTCTACTCGCCACAGTGTCGAGGTTTTTCCCCACGTGGGGCTGTGAAGGATTGGGATTAATGTTGTTTAGACAGAGCGTAAGCGGTGGAAACAGGCTCTTGCAGTGATGAATACCAGTATACCCTGGGCAATGCCGTACGGGCAGGGACCCTGTGCCTCCCCCGTTGCTCGAGCGGGTGCAGGACAGCCTGGCAGTGCTGGCCACAGCTTTCCGAGAGTGTTGCAAATGGAGCAGCGCTCAGGTTCCAGTGTGGCCTTCCATCTCCTCTGGCTGTTCCGCAAGCACTGGTGTGGCGGCCGGCTCTGGAGGCTTTGCTCTTCGTGGCGTCGGAGAGGTAACCCACGGGCCACGCCAGCAGCCGAGCCCAGGCGGTGCTGCCGGTGCTCATCCTGTCTCTTTCTTTAGGCCATTGCACTCCCTGCCTGGCCTCTTGAGGTGACAAACTATGCTTTTATCGCTTGTATTCAAATTCTTTCATGCTCGGCTTCCTGCATTTGCACAGGTGGGATTATGAACTCTTTGTACCTGCGCTGCCCATTTCCACTTCCCAATTTATTTACTATTAATTTATTATTCATTTAATTGTTTAATTATTTATTTAGTCTTTCACATTTAGCTTTTACTTGGTCTACACATACCCCTCTTCACTAGTTACGCGTCTCTTGGGTTGCTTTGTGTCATAGGAGACGAGGTTTGAAGTCTTCATGCATCAGTGGAAAAAAAAATGGGTTTTTAGTGCCATTCTGACCAGCAGTCTGGACATCCTGTCCCAGAAAGCATCCTCTGCAGCTGGACTGCATCAAGGGACCCAGTGTTTCCCAGGGAATTATTACGCAGGTTCCCTTTTTGTCCACAGATGACAGAAACTTCTAGACTTGCCGGGGTTTTGGACTTGGGATTGCTCATATATGAGCTCCTCCATGGGACTTAACGTAACATTCCACGTTCCCTCTGAGCCCTTCACCCTCCAGTTTCCAAAATCCGCTGACGTTTGCATTGCTTTTTGGGTAGCTCCTGCTCCTTCTCATGCCTGCATCTGCTGGGAATGCAGGTGAGTTACAGGCACCACAGAATCCCAGGAGATGTTGCGTGACTCTGTATCTACAGCCTCCCTGGCGACATTCATCTCCTTTTACATCTTTCTGAGGGCATCCATTAATCTGAAACAAAAAGAGGCGTTTGTTTCCCAGATGGATGCTGACGTAGGATGCTTGGCGTGTGCTGGGAGGGCGACCATGCAGGCTCATGCATGTGCTCAGAGGAGCCACGCTACAGGCAAAGAGCAGGGACCTCTCTGCAGGGTCCCCCTTGGAGGCAAGAGCTCCCTGGGCTGTCCATACAGGCATCGTGGGCTTGCCCATGGATGAGGATGGGCAACAGGGCAGTGCGGTGCCTGGAGGGGGCAGGGGCAGGGCAAGGGCAGCTGGAGACTGGTGAGGGGGGACAGATGCTGTCCTGACAACATCATGGACCTTGGCAGGACTGCTTCTCCAAACTGATGTGGCTCTGGGAACCTTTTCATCCGCATCGGGGGGTACTTCAATGGGGGGGCAGGTGGAGTGGTTTTATTCTGCCCCTGCACTGTGCAGAATTGTTGGTCTCAGTCATCTGCTCCATCAGGGGGGCAGTGAGGCTGGAGGTGGGTAGGCTCATCACATCTGGGTTTCTTCAGGAGACTTGCGATGGCAGGACAGCCTCCATCAGCATCCTGCCTGCTCCCACTCCTGCTCCCTCTCCCACTCCCTCTTCCACTCCCTCTCCTGCTCCCGCCCCCTCTCCTGCTCCACACGCAGCACTGAGCCGCATTGCACCAGGGGCAGTGAATGGCAGAGGGGCAGAAGGTGATTACTGTGTTGCCGTTAGAACTCTGGACTTGACCGTGGGTTTGCAAACCAGATTTTTGCCGTGATTCTCATCTTCATATTCAGATCTCTCTGCCACGTTGCTTGCCCCCGCATAAGGAAGCTGTCCCCAAAACCCGCCTGTGCCAAAGGGAGCCTCTAGCTGTGTTAGGACACATCTTCTAGGAAGACGTCAGCCGCCATGGGCTCGGCATCACCAGGGCAGCGTATACAGGGCTCCTCTTGGACCTGGAGCCATCCTCAGCTGTGGCGCTGGGCTTTGCGGGTGTCGGCAGCCATTAGAGGGTCCACGTTAGGTACCTGCCACTCTACAATGCACTCTTTGCCTCAGAGGTTTAGGGTTCTACAGAGCCAGCTCAGAGCCAGGTAGCATCCCCAGTACCCTCCCTTTTTTCCCATATTTCAACTTTCTTGCTCCACCTTATGGGTATTGCCTTTTCCTGGCCTGCCCCTCGAAGTGCAGTGGTGTGACGGTGCGGCACTGGAGACAAGCTCAGAGTGGTGCCTGCCCTCTGTGCATCTTGCCAGGTGCCCAAAATGGCTGCATGCCCGTGTGGCCATGGGCTCAGCGGTGCCCAGGCAGGAGCAGGGCTTTAGCTGCAAAGCAGCGGGGTGGTTTGCTCCCATTGACTTCAGGCAATGCCAAAAATGAGGGGAAAGCTGACCCTGGTAGGAGAAGGGGAAGTGGAAGCAGAGGAGACCTGGGAGGAGGAGGAGGAGGAGGGGGAGGCAGAGATGTTGGCTGAGGCCGGGGTCAAGCTGAGCCTCAGCTGCTGTGTTTGTGTCCACAGGAGGAGGCTGCTGGCCCCAGCGGATGGTCTGGATGAGGGATGGGTGAGACAGTCCCCGACGCGGGTGCTGTTGGGCTGGGATGAGGAGCAACAGGAAAGGTGCGTGGTGGGACCCGAGGGGCTTGGATTGGCTGAACTCCCAGGGCTCGGGTGGGAATTGCAAAGCCCCTAGAAGTGCTGGGGCAGCAAAGGGCGAGGGAGCCATGCCCATGGCAGGCCTAAAACAATCACGATACACCCTGGAGCAGAAGCGGCTCTCTTGTTTTTCCTCTACCCAGGTAGAAATATCCTCCTTAAGACTAGGCTTAGCCACAGAGAAGATGGAACTATGAGCTACATATGCATGGTGGGGACACCTTGTTTTTACGGATTGTGGGCAAACAACCTTTGTCTTCCACATAGGAAGCGAGCACAAGCTGTGCCTCCTGCACCCCAGGTCCTGGCTTCCCTGCAGCCCCGGGGACAGCCCTGGAGGATCTGCCCTGCCCGGGAAGCCAAGGCCTGGAGAGGGGCTGCGCCTCCTCACGGGGCAGGTGTTTGCCTTCTTCCTGGGCACAACCCCGTGTGCCAATTAGCATAACGAACCATCCTGGAGCGACAGCCATACCAGCTCCTTTTTGTCCCCCCTCGTAGCGATGCTTCTTGTTCGTGCCCGGTAAAGCATCCTGGTCTGAATCCGACACAGTTTTAATAAAGAGGCTGAAAAGGGATGACACAGTTTATAGATACAGGGGTTTGTTGCACATTCTCACACTGTAGTTCTTCCAAAATCATCTTCTGAGCAACCTGGTCTGGTTAAATGTGTCCCTGCTCCCAGCAGGGGGGTTGGGCTGGGTGACCCCTAAAGGTCCCTTCCTACCCAAAGCATTCTGTGATTCTCTGATTCTCCCAAGCACATGCAATCCAGCCTGGTATCTTCGAATCATTTGGTTAGAAAAGACCTTTAAGATCATCGAGTCGAACTGTAAAATCTTGGTGCTTCCCAAGTCCCTCTGAGGGCATCTCACACCCCAGGGCAAGGACGAGGCTCAGGCTTGGTGCTGCTTGATGGTATTTTACTGAAACCACCTCAGCTTGTGCTCCTTTGATTACACAATAGCCAAATAAATATGGGCAAACCCTAATTAGGGATCCTGTAGGTTAAAGAACGGGCCATGAGCCTGCCCTTGGGCTTTCCTACCTGGGTGAAATGGCTGTCGGTCTCTTCCCAGCCTGCCCGAGCGCATCGGTTCGGCCACAAGCCTGAGCAGTGCCGTCATCAACAGCCGGCTCCAGGAGCTGGTGAAGCTCTTCAGGGAGCGGACGGAGAAGGTGAAGGAGAAGCTAACTGACCCTGACGTCACCTCGGATGATGAGAGCCCTGCGACCTGTGAGTGTGAGCGGGGCCAGGGGTGTTTAACTGATCGGTCCCCCACGCGCTGCACTCCCTGGGAGGCAGCTGCTTTACTAACAGTTTGAAGACCTCAAAACAAATTGCTGTGAGATGATTTTCTGCCCTTTAAAATACTTGTGTGGCCTCTCCTAGCCCCTGCCAAGCCAGCGCCTGTGGCAGCGCCCATGCCTGCCCCTGGCGGGGAGCCGGAGGGGGATAAGCCAGGTGGGGACGAGCACTACTGTGAGATGCTGTGCTGCACCTTCAAGTACCGGCCCTGGCTGGACCGCCTGAAAAGCTACCAGTTCCCCAGCAGCATCGACCCACTCACCAGTGAGTGATGGAGCACAGCCATGTGCCCAGGCTGGGGGCAAGCTGGTGGGGCCAGGGAAGAGGGGGTAAGGAGGGGAGGAGGTGTAAAAGCTGAGACCTTGCAGAGGAGGGAGGGCAAGTGAGGAAGGAGCAACTGAGCTTACGCCCGCCTACTGAAAACCCCAGCGTTTTAAGTCCCCTGCAAGGCACAGGCTTTCCTAAATGATTCCCAGGCACTGTGGATATTGGGAGCATAACCAGGCAGGGAAGGGGCAGCAAACACTATCCCTGTGGTGTGGGCACCCCAAATAAAAGTAAAAATAACAGAAGGAAAACCCACTGCCTGGCAGGCGCCCCACAGGAGCCCAGCTCCTTCCTTTGCTATTCCACAGGCGTTTCCAAGCCCCCGGCTGCACAGCCTCAAGGGGGAAAAGCAAAGCAAGAGCCCTCCCACAGGTTTCCTCCTTGCACTCAGGGCAGGGCAGGGGATGAAACCCCCTTTTGCAGAGCGGACACAGGCAAACGAGGGCCACGTGCCCAGCTAACCATGGGGCGGTTCCCTGTCTGCAGACCTGATGTACGTGCTGTGGCTGTTCTTCGTCGTCATGGCCTGGAACTGGAACTGCTGGTTGATCCCCGTCCGCTGGGCTTTCCCCTACCAGACACCAGCAAACATCCACTTCTGGCTGCTCATGGATTACCTCTGTGACCTCGTCTACCTGCTGGACATCCTTATCTTTCAGACCCGGCTGCAGTTCGTCCGGGGGGGAGACATCATAGTGAGTGGCCTATGGGGACCGGCCCCCCACCTGGCACCAGCGCTGCCAGTCACTGATCCCCAAATTGAGCTCTCCAAGCTCTCCCACCACAGCTGTGGTCATCAGTGCTGTGTCCCCTTGGAGGACTGCAGGCACCTCTCCTGCCTTGTAGCGGATAAGCCCATAGCATTTTGTCTGCCAAACAGAGGTATTTTTCCCCCTCACTTCAGTACCAGCACATCCAGAAAGCATGCAGTCCACAGTGGCCCCGTTCCTGGGCGGGGTTGCTGGGAGGGTCCAGCTCCACAGGCCAGTCCTGCCAGCAAGGCACCCACCGACCGGCCTGGCATGGCTGCACGCTGCAAACTGTGAGCAGATGCCATCATAAACGCTGCGTATTTTTGGGAGCACAGCTAGGCAGGACACGTTAGCAATAGGGCAAAAGCCATTGCGATCCGAATGCATAGATCACGTGCCTGGGATAAGTGAAAGCCGTTAGTTCTGTTTCCATATCCAATTAAATGCGCTGTGAAAAGTAAGACCTCGAGGGCATGACCTTCCCATTGCTCAGGCAAATGCTCAGCCAGGGAGGCTTCTGCCTTAAACTCTGATTTTCGTCATGCTGGCACTGCGATGTGCTTTCCCTGGGATGCAGAATGAGTGGGAGACATCCTGCGCTAGGATGAGAAGACGGCATTCGGCCAGGTCTTCTCCTGTGCCTTTTGCTCCGCTCCCCATCCGGAGCACCTTCCCTGTGGTGGTGACGATGAGGAAAGCCAGGCGTGACCTTTCTGTAAGCAATGCTCAATCTTCCTCCCTCCTTCTCTCTCCTATTCCCAACCAGACTGATAAAAAGGCCATGAAAGAGAACTACCTGCGGTCACAACGCTTCAAGGTTCGACAGAATTTTATTTTTTAATCCGAACCTTTGATCTGAACCCTGGCTTGCAGCCTCGCCCCAGCGCGCCTGCAGGTCCCCACCAGGCTTCCTCTCTCTGTGTGGGTTTCAGATGGACGTGGTGTGCCTCCTGCCCCTGGATTTCTTCTATTTCAAAGTCGGTGTCAACCCCCTCCTGCGCTTCCCTCGCTGCCTGAAGGTGAGCCGGAGCTTACAGAACGAGGCAGAACAGCAGTGGCAGGGGGCGTGGGGGGGACTGCGCTGGCTGGGGGAAGCGGGGGCTTGCAAGGCTCATTGGTGGTCACGAGGGGATTGTAAAAGGGATGGGCAGTCTCATCCCAAAGGCTCTGTGGGGCTCTTGGCCAAACACTTCATTTCAATCCTAAAACACACTTGCACTTGAAGAGAAGGGCACTTCTAGATGGAGCTACAGCAGTTCACACTGCAGAAGGGCCACAGGAGGGAAATGGGGGATCAGGGGGTTCTTGGGGCCGTGGCTCCCCCAGCGGGGGCTGCGGGAAGCTGGAGCGCACTGCTTTCCTTCTCCTCCCAGTACATGGCCTTCTTCGAGTTCAACAACCGCCTGGAGGCCATCCTGAGCAAGGCATACATCTACAGGTGAGGGGCAGTGTGGCTGTTTGCTGTGGGGAGGAAGGTTCACTGCAGGCGCATCCCTTCTGGGCTTCGGATTTATTTTCCCATTGTCCCTGGACCAGTTGACATAGGCATTGGCTGGCGCAGGTGGGATGTGGGGGTCCTGGATCCCTCAACCTCCCCTAGACCTGGTGGGGACCAGGTGGTAAGGAGGAGCCACCAGGGGATAACCGGCTTTCCCCAGCACTGCTGGAGCTGCAGGACTGTGGGGGTGGGTTGCGGGGCTGTGCATTTGGGTGCTCTGGGGTTCCTGCACTGGCAGGACCTGCATGGTCAGTGCTCAGCTCCTCGCTTTGATGCTCCTTGTGATGCCGGGGGGACCTGATGGGTTTCTCCCAGCAGATACCACATCATCCCCCCTCCTGCGCTCTCCTTTTGGGGTTTTTTTTTCAGAGTGATCCGGACCACTGCCTATTTACTGTACAGCTTGCATGTGAACTCCTGCCTGTATTACTGGGCATCAGCCTACGAAGGACTGGGGTCCACCACCTGGGTCTATGACGGGGAAGGAAACAGGTACAAGCCAGGGTTTGGGGCCTCAAGTAGCACAGCTTTCTGTGATGAGCTGGAGCAAGAAGAAAGGCATTAGGATGCAGCTGGGTTCATAAAACCCCCTGAAGCAGAGGGCTGGGGGTGCCAGGAGGATACAGAGCCAGGGAGGACAATGGGAAGGGGAGGGATGGGATGTGCAGTGATGTACAGAGCTGCAAGGTGAGGAGCCTGCCGCTGGGCTGAGGTGGAAGGCGGTGGCAGAGGCTGAAAAACTGGGAACCAGGCACTGGGAAATGGGAATGCTCCCTGGCTGAGCAGGATGGCAGTGTGAGCCCCATTTCCATTCGCATTGACCTGCTGCCAGGTTGGGACGGGGGCTTGAAGCTGTGCTTGGAGACGGGGGGCTGAGCTTTGAACTGAAAGGTACGATGCAGCACCTCACACCCAGCAAAATCTGGCCCCTTGGACCAGCTCTGCACCTCATTCCCGGGGACATTCCCTGTCCCTTTGCCATGGCATTTCCAAGCTCGGTGTGCACTGCTGGTGGTGGATGCTGCAGGGAGAGCACTCAGCTCGCAAGCTCGAGTGCTGCCTCATTGCGAATGCCTGCACCTGCAAGTTGTACAGCACCGGCAAAATAAAATTTAACCACTTTAGCACCATGCAGTAAAGGAGATTTTCCCGAAAAAGAGGCATGGGCAAGGGCATTAAAGACGTACCATGGGGTGTGGGTGTAGATGGGGACAAGTGACTGTCACCCAGGCAGCCTCAGCGCAGGTGTTGCCTTCCCTTTGAGCACCCAGCTTTGCCCATTGACGTGCTGCTGTACAGTGCGACACACACAGTATATAGCCATCTCTAGGTGCAACGGCAGCATCCAAGGGAGTGCCCAAGGCCGGTGAATCAGGAATTCACTCAGCATCTCCTGAGTCCCAGGAGCACCAATTTGCTCACAAACCCTTTTTTCCCCCTGGCTATTTCTAAAAGTGTAAATGTTGCTGGAAATGCATTGCTGGTTTATAGTGGTGGGGCTGAAACAAGCAGAAAATGGGAGTAGCCGGAGCAGTGGAGCATCTCACGCAGCGGTTTCTGGAGGGTCCCTACATCCCCTGGCTCCTGTAGCATCTCCAGAAGCCCCTGCAGGTGGAATGGGGGGAGTCTGCAGCCTCTTAATTTTCCCTTCATCACCTGTAATTAGTCTCAGCAGGCTCTGGCTTGCTGGCCAGAGATCAGTGTCGTGGGGTGAAACAGGCCTTCGAGCCGGCGACGCCTTCAAAGCTGCCCCCTCTTTTCCCCCCAGCTACATCCGCTGCTACTACTGGGCAGTCAAAACCCTCATCACCATCGGGGGTCTGCCTGACCCCAAGACCCTGTTTGAGATCGTCTTTCAGCTGCTGAACTACTTCACAGGCGTCTTTGCTTTCTCTGTCATGATAGGGCAGGTGAGCGGGCATGGGGGGGTTCTCTGCCTCAGGTAGGGAAGGGTTCGTTGGGGTTGGTCCACAGGTTGGTATCTCCAGGTTTGTTTTCCCCATGCAAGGGCCTGCTCTGCACTGGTGGAAGACAAAAAGGGGTTGGCAGATGCTGTTGGGACTTAGCATGCGTGTTCTGGACTGCTTACCCTGCGTGATGGATAAGCAGCAGCAATAAAAATGTCTCTTCCACCCTTTCCTCCCATTCAGATGAGAGATGTGGTTGGTGCTGCTACCGCAGGGCAAACGTACTATCGGAGCTGCATGGACAGTACCATTAAGTACATGAACTTCTACCGAATCCCCAAGATGGTTCAGAACCGGGTGAAAACATGGTACGAGTACACGTGGCATTCACAAGGCATGCTAGGTGAGACCCAACTGCTCCGAGAGTCAACACTCGCACCACCTGTGTGTCATTGCAGTCGCTTTGCTGACTGTCAAATGGCACCACGGCTTCAGGCTGGGGGGTGGCTTCTTTCACTCTTTGCCGTACGGTCTCATTTGCCCACCAGTAGAGTACATAGGCTGCCACCAGCTCGCAGAGCCTTGGTGGCCCGGCACCACGCACAGCGCACTGAGCCCAGCGACCAACCTGCAGTGCCCGGGGAGGGGGCGGTGACTGGCAACCACTGGCCAGAGCGTACCCAATAGCAAACCCGCTCACTCACCCCACCAGTAAAGTGTCGTCAGTGTCCTCCTGGAGAAGCTGGGTGCTCATGGCTTGGACAGGCGTACCCTTTGCTGGATAAAAAAATGTCAAGATGGCCGAGCCCTGAGAGTTGTGGTGAATGGAGTTAAATCCAGTGGGTGGCCGGTCACAAGCCATGTCCCCCAGGGCCCAGTGCTGGGGCCAGTTCTGTTCAATACCTTTATCAACAATCTGGATGAGGGGACCGAGGGCACCCTCAGTCAGTTTGCAGATGACACTGAGCTGGGCGGGAGTGTGGATCTGCTGGAGGGGAAGGGGGCTCTGCAGAGGGACCTGGCCAGGCTGGATCCATGGGCCCAGGCCAATGGTCTGAGGTTCAACAAGGCCAAGTGCCAGGTCCTGCACTGTGATCACAAACCACGCAATGCTACAGGCGTGAGGAAGAGTGGCTGGAAAGGTGCCCAGCGGAAAAGGCCCTGGGGGTGTTGGTCAACAGGTGGCTGAATATGAGCCAGCAGTGTGCCCAGGTGGCCAAGAGGACCAACAGCATCCTGGCTTGTATCAGAAACTGTGTGGCCAGTAGGAGCAGGGAAGTGATCGGGTCCCTGTACTCGGCACTGGG